TGATGTATCGAGAAGGATGGAGAAATGCAAGGCATATTACATGTCATTATATTACAGAAAGGTACATCATGACCAAATATTACATTAAATAATAAGATAAACATGTTTAACCGAATATACTAAAACCTATACTACCCACTAAAGATTTTATATAAATAAATTACGTTTTTGCTCACTACACATATCAAAGAATTTCCTAAGAATGAAGAAAATTCTACGTTTATATATCATTACTCTAAAATTAAATATTTATTAATAACTAAAAACTATAATTTACAGATTTTCATATAAAACACATAGTACAAAATAACTATAATATACAGGCTATCACAGTGACAGATCAGTTGACTCATTTTTACCATCACTACCAATACATTTCATAAAATATATGAATTTTTACATTAATGGACTCCTGGTGTGCAATAAAGACGTCATATTTGTTTTATGAAATTAATTAATATAATTACCCTCTCTTCTTATATCATATTTTTGCAAAAGAAAAAAATATAGACATTATTATAGACAAACGAAGACCCTCTTAGAAGAACTCAAGTGATCCGATAATTTAACTCAGAGAGTACTATCTTATCACAAATTCTAATATATCCACCTAGTATTAAGGTTGAAAGATCAACACACATTTCGAATCAAACTCATATATCTAGCCCTTACTAGCGATTTATTAACCTTACATTGCATATAATTAATTATTATTTACAATTATTAAACCCTGGTTGAAGTTATTAGTTATTTAAAATGGTAATGAAATGCAATATGTAAACACTCCTATATGACAATAATCATCAAAACAGAAGAAACTTAGATGATTTATGATCCTAAGCTCGTAATTTATATCCTAAGAGTTATTAAAATATAAGTGTCATTTTACATTGCAAAATTCTAGAACTTTCTCACACTGAATATGCAAACCAAAATTGATATGACTGACTTTCACAAAACTATGATTTATCTATGCCTTAATTAAAAATCCAAAATATAATAGTCGACTAATGCTTTGCACTCAAGGTGCCAATCTTCCCTTGCATTAAATCCAAATACCCCTCTTTCTTCTTTGCTACTGTAATTTTTTATCATTATACGCAATAGCCATTAACAGATCCTAACAACTACTTAATTAATCAATTAATAGTGTAATCCTCTGATCATAATTCCAATTATTATATCATTTAATGTAGAATTAAACATTATACTCATCCGCATGTATTTTACATAAAACTAAACTAAATACATGAAACCTATCAATCTTAACGAAATGTTCACCGTCTGACTCCATTTCTCGATACAAATACGCTACTGAATAAACAATTGATTTAAGTATTTCAGATAAGCACAAACCCCTGTTGAATGTTTTTACCCTGCTATTACACCAGACTTTCCAAACAATCATTACCCATTGAATGGTTTAGTTAAATTATTAAATTTATGACTCCTTCATATTCAATTAATAAAATATAGCCTGTCTTAACGCATGTTCAGTATGGAGATTCACAATATCTATTTTCAAATAGCCTAGCATGCCTTGGATTTTGCTATCGTCTTACATTTTATCCAATTAAGTATCTACAAATACAATCTCCTGACTTATTCGTTTCCATCCTACGCTCATCATTACATCACTACATCCCTCAATTAATGATACGTCTGAGTCTACTCCATAATATCTCTTTATTGGCCTTGTTTAACCCCACCTTAGCACTATCATACAATATCACTTATTTATACCTTTTAAGTAAAGTATTTCTAACAAAAACAAATATCATATTAAGTCATGAATGGAATATTGATTCAGGTCATATCATAACTTTGCACGATATGGTTGCCATGGTTTCTCAAACCTCATTTTTAAGGAAGATAAAAATAAAATACACAATTGTTAGGATCAAAGTTGATCTACAATTTGCTTGTCTACCCCAAACTTTCAATTAAGCTTTCCAATGGACTAAGACAATTATAGAGAGTATGAGTTCTCTAGGAACTAAATCTTAATAGAATTGTCAGTGAATCAATTGACATATATCCTTCTTGTCCACTGTTCTTAACTTAATCGTTGAGCCAGTTGCAAGTCAAGTCTAATTTATTCATTCTTATGTTTACAACACTTACCATTTAGATCTGAAAATGTAAGTAACCCCCTTCACATGATGTGGAGAATTATCTATTATTAGGGCCCCCACTCTTCTCGCACTCCTATTGACTTCTTGTCTATATAGGCTTATGTGATACATGCATTGTCTCTTCTGTCAGCATAAAAACAGTAGTCCATATAGTATCCCATTTAAGAAAAAAATAAACTAAAGGGAGAGATCAATGGATGACAGATAAATCTGGTAAATGTATAATTCATGAATGATTACCATTATGCACGTATCATTTACAACTAATACTAAACGTTGTAACTCTGATAGCACAATCTATAAAGTTAAATATTACTTCTAAATACTCTGTATCCAGTAGTTTGAATGAGTAAGATTGATATGTTGTAAACCTCATGTTCATAAATGCTTGTTGCTAATTATCAGACTACGTCTTCGATCTCCAATTTAATAATTCCTCATAAGATATTCTCTATATAAAATATTACCATTTATACGTCCTCTATAGATTCTTTTTTTTTTTTTTTGCCCCCCCCCCCCCCACTCCCCTAATCCTATAAAGTGGTGGTCTATGGCCAAATGGATGTAGAAACTAGCAAGTCCAATTCAGCTAATTAAATTTATCCTATATACGGACAAGCATAACAAAGTTTGGCTAATTGCTTCCATGTGATATTGGAAGGTAATGAGGATTTGAGGGTCAAAAGGAGGAAAAAGGTCAGTAATTAGTGGGTCACACAAGCAAATTAGCTAGTGGAAACATGAGAGTGTGCGCCTTGTTTTTTTCTTTTCTCATTTTTTTAACGTTTTTCGTTGTTCAAAACTTAATCAAAACACTTTAGGCCTTGGAAAAACAATGTCAATCTAAGTTAAATCTAATATTAATGAACCCCACCGTCTCCCTTTGCCTGGCTTTTATTAACTCACGAGTTCCTCTGTGGCCCACAAAACACTACCGTTACCTTATTACCAGCGTGAAAGCAAAAAAACAT